AATGCCCATTTAATAACCTATGAGTAGGAACATTTTGGGATGCTACGGTTAGAGATTAAAGGTCTCCCGAATCTAATCTTCTTTAAATTACTCTGTTTCTTGATTTAAGCCTCGTCCCGTTATAAGATGTAGGGGACTTTTTCTTCTGGCAGCTACAAATGGTTTGGGCTGCTGTAAGGAGCAAACTAATGCAAGTGTCCCATTGTGTCTGAGTTCGAAGATCAAGCCCCAAGAATGTTTCGAAAGGGTAGTGAAGCCTTAGGAAACTCCTTGGTTACCTTCACTAATGAAAATAACAACAAATTACAGATAAATCTTCTAGCTTGGCATAAGAGGCTTGTGGCATGGGAGCAAAAATTGTCATGAGTTTAGCACTTAAGGAGAGAGAGCTGTAAGTTCTTATGAGAGACAGAGGTTCTAAGGGAAAGAAAAAGGGATTCTAAAAGGTTTGATGAAGAGGGAGAAGGATGGTCGAGAATGATGGGTGACTTTAGTAATTTCCGGCAGCTTGACAGAGACTCTGCCAAGAAAAAATGGAAATAAGGGAAATAAGGGTGATGGACAAGTAAAGCACGAAAATTACTGAGTTTGCAAGTAAGAGAGGAAGCTTGCTCTCTGAAGTGTGTGTTGTTGGGTAGAAGAGGTCTTATTTATAGCTGCTGGGAACTGCTCTTCTCCAAGAAACCCTAATGGTTTCTTTCCAATCCAGCCAAGCTTTCCTCTTCCTTTCTTCTCCTTTCTCTTGACTCACCTTATAGTGGTAAAAATCAGCTCTGCCCAATCCCACAAAATCAGAGATTTTTGGGAGCTCAATGCTCTTTCTGCGACTGCTTCAATGGAGAACCTCTATTTTCATCCATCTCCTTTTTCTTCTTTTCTCCTCTTTCCATGGCCAGATCTGATGAAGAAAAGAAAAGGGTATGTATGCTGGTTCAAAGAATGGCATCCTACCCTGTGCGCCAATATCCCTTGGTCCCTTGAAGGTTTTCGCTTGGAACTTGTTCCTTCCATGAGTTGGAATCCCCTGGTTTCTTTATGGCTCTCCTCTTCAGCCAAGTGCTGAAGCCTTTGCTGCTTCTTACTTCTAATTGTATGGGCTTTCTAAGATGGCAAGTCAACCTATCAAACAAGTGGGCTGATCTCCTCAAGTTTTGGGCTATATTGGTTAATTTTAGTGGGCCATTTTGGTTGGGCTTTTTGGTTGGGATATTTTCTCTCTTGTGCTTACCCATATTTTTTGGGCCTAAGAAATGGGCCTGAGTTCCGAGGCTCCCAAACGACCCGGAACTTCCATTTCTTGGTCCATCAATGGGTCTTATGACAATTTATTACCATCCATACCACAACCCACTCAAGCAAGCCCCCGCCATTTGAGTGGCTTGAGCCCACTTAAGCTTGTAGTGCGATTGGGTGTGAAATAATAATTTCCCGTTTTGCATGGCATGTCGCTTGGCACGCTTTTAATTATGACGCTCGATAGGATAATTGGTATGGATTTGCAGAGCTAAATTCATTTTATAATTTTAGCATGCCGGATTTTATTTGGCATGGCATGCGGAATGTGACTCGTAAATGGCAGACTTTTGTGTGCTCCAAATCGGGTCTTTTCTCAATAATATATTGTTTTGGGCCAGGAATTTATTCGGGCCCAACCATGGATTTTTTTGTGCCTTAACATAAGACTAGGGGTGGGCATAAAAACCGATAAACCGATCAAACCGACCGAACCAACCCAACCCAAACCGAAAAAGAGCGTTTTTTGACCAAACCGAAAAAGTCAAACCTGGACCTGAACCGAACCGAAGGTCCACGGTTCGGCTCGCGGTTCTAATTTTTTCAGAACCGGTGGACCTGAACCGAACCGGTAATATTTAAATATATATATAATTTACACGTGGCCTCGTGTGATTGGCCAAAAACAGAGAAAGTGTGAGAGTGCTTGCACCAGATCCCTTACGCAATTTTTTTTTTTTTGCACCTAAGTCACACACACGCTAGTCTCTCTCTCTCTCTCACTCAGTCTGAGTCTTCTCTTCGTTTTTTCTTTTCGTTTTTGACCTAAGCTAAGACCAAGCGGCGCCTCACCTCACCTCTCTCTCTCTCGAGCTCGACCAGGCGACCAGCCTCAGATCTCTCTCTCTCTCGAGCTCGACCCGCCTCAGCTCTCTCTCTCCACCTGCCTCAGCCTCAGCTCTCTCTCTCTCTCGAGCTCGACCCGCCTCAGCTCTCTCTCTCTCTCGACCGCGCCGCCTTCAGCCCTGCACGCAGCGGCAGGTCAGCTTCTATTTCTCTTATCTGTTACATTTTTTCTCAGTCGCTTCTTTGCTCCGCTAACTCTCTCTTCTTATCTCGATTTTTCTATTTTTTCCCAGCGGCAGGGCACCAAATCGACATCTATTCCTTCCTCTCCTGCGATTTCTTCTGTGGGTTTCTCTCTCATATCAGTCAAAGGTGATTAAATTTATGGTTTATTCTAGCATCATCTTCCTTTGAATTTAGGGTTTATTCTAAATTAAATATATGGTTTTTTTTCTTTTAAATTAGGCTTGTCGATTTGGTGGTTGAGGTTGATGTGATGATATATTTTTTCTGTTAAGGTTTTAGCCTTTAGGGTTGTCGATTTAGGGCTGCCACCAATTAGGTTATGCTGTGTTGTGATGATTATTTGAAATTGACAAAGAAATTATGAACTGTAAGTATCATGCATTATACAAATTAGGGCTGCTAGCATTTAGGTTCTTCTGTTAAATTGTTCTAATTAGGGCTGCTACCAATTAATTTTTGTTTTATGAAATTAGGGAGTTGTATGCATAGGAAAATCTGTTTTGACAGTTGGCTGCTACCCTTTTTTTGATTTCATTCACAGTTGTTTAGCATCGTTGCTGCTACTGAGCTTTGAAAGTTGGGAAAATTTTGCTTAAATGGAGGTAAATATTCGCTGCTGCTGCTAATCTATTTAAATCTATTTTTGTAATCTGTTTAAATCTGTTTTTGTAATCTGTGTTTGTAATATGTTTAAATCTGGTTTTGTAATCTGTTTTTGTAATCTGTTTTTATAATCTGTTTTTGTAATATGTTTTTATAATCTGTTTTTATAATCTGTACTGTGTGTATAATCTGTTTGTAATCTGACTTTGGATAGGAAAATCTATTTGTAATCTGATTTTTGGATAAGATATATGTTTAGGGAGTTGTATGCATAGGAAAATCTGTTTTGACAGTTGGCTGCTACCCTTTTTTTGATTTCATTCACAGTTGTTTAGCATCGTTGCTGCTACTGAGCTTTGAAAGTTGGGAAAATTTTGCTTAAATGGAGGTAAATATTCGCTGCTGCTGCTAATCTATTTAAATCTATTTTTGTAATCTGTTTAAATCTGTTTTTGTAATCTGTGTTTGTAATATGTTTAAATCTGGTTTTGTAATCTGTTTTTGTAATCTGTTTTTATAATCTGTTTTTGTAATATGTTTTTATAATCTGTTTTTATAATCTGTACTGTGTGTATAATCTGTTTGTAATCTGACTTTGGATAGGAAAATCTATTTGTAATCTGATTTTTGGATAAGATATATGTTTAGGGAGTTGTATGCATAGGAAAATCTGTTTTGACAGTTGGCTGCTACCCTTTTTTTGATTTCATTCACAGTTGTTTAGCATCGTTGCTGCTACTGAGCTTTGAAAGTTGGGAAAATTTTGCTTAAATGGAGGTAAATATTCGCTGCTGCTGCTAATCTATTTAAATCTATTTTTGTAATCTGTTTAAATCTGTTTTTGTAATCTGTTTAAATCTGTTTTTGTAATCTGTGTTTGTAATATGTTTAAATCTG